GGGTCACGATGAGGTCCTTTCTTTTGGTGTTTTTTGGTTTCTTTTGATGTCATTTGTACTTGTTTGTTGCTGTTTAAACAACAATGGTATTGTGCTATTTTGGTATTGTAGAAAGTAACGATACATTTTTTTTTTGTCTTTAAAATTTAATGTGTATTGGTAGGTATGTATTTTCTTATGAGCGTTTTTTTGTCAAATGGTGTATAAAGTATGTATCTATTGGTTCATACGACTTTTTGATTTTTTTATAGTAAACTAAGATTGAAAGGAAAGTGAAAAGACAAATATACATCCCATGTGCTGGGCATATGAAGTAGGCTAATCTCCAACACAAACGGGTGAGAAATCCAAGGACCAAATCTGCAGGTTAGAAAATTTTGGACCAAAACAATAAAAGTGACAAACCATAAGGACCATTTTTGCATTTTTTTTCTCTATATATTGCATTGCCATCTGAATTCATGATCCTCGAATAATTCATCCATGAATGTTAGATGAGTGTGGAAGAGATCAACATGTTATTGTCACAACTCAATAAATCTCGACAGATCTAGGAGTTTCATAGACACTGAAACTAGCCAACAATTTGCCTACCTCAATAGCTTATTGATGTGATTATGGCTAATCCTTTTCATATTTTGGAGTGAAATATGGATCCTAGTCTTATTTAACTAGTTTTAATATTGGGTAATTATTTTTCAAACGATAAATAAAACAAACTAGGATGGAAGTTTACTTAATGATGTATACAAATAAAATTTTCCATAAACTTTTACTACATTAAAACCGTTGAAAAGATAAGTTGATAGGACTGATAAATCCTTTCAAGATTTGTAGTTTGAGAATAGTTCTCAAGAATGAAGAGAAGGGTCGTACCTAGATAAAGCTTTCCTGGGTTCCTCTAGCTCTTCTAATTTTGGTTGCAGATAATTATACATAAACAAATTAAAGTAACATGGAACTCCATAAAGTTAGGACTTAGGTATAGATAACATAACAAAATGGCTGACATGAACATATAATTAGTTCATTCTTATTTGATATGAACAAATTAAAAGGATCCATCATGGAGTTTCATGGCAGGTTGAGGACCTCTAATCCTAACATGGCCTTGAATAGAATATACAAGTTGAATACTCCTACATATACTATAATGAATGGAAGTGCCAATAAGTATAAAGCAGTTACCTATGGGAAAAATGCAATTAGAGTTGGTACACCTAACTCCAACCCATGAACCCAATCTGTCACACCCCCAAACCGGAGCGGCGGAAACGTTCTGGGGTGGAGGACGTCATGTATAGTATCACAACAATTGAATAATAGTAATCAAAGCAACAACAACCATTGTATTGATAATATAGTGTTTACATTGTATTTGAATCACATATGATTGACTCCAAAGTAAATAGAAACACAGGACTTGAAGCTACTATGCTCCGCCATCTGGAACCCTGTATGTGTACCTGTCTACTAGTGACCTGAGAATACAAGTGGTTTTGAAAGTGTCAACATTAAAGTTGGTGATTTTATAAGCATTTGTATTTGGAAAATATGTTCTTTGTTCCTTGAAAACCTTAGTTTGTTCTTTCATAAAATCCTATATTTTCTGACGTAATGAAATGTATGTTCTGCTGATTTGTACTTATAAAAGTGATGTATTACTGTTGTGTATGTATGAAACTCTATTTGTATGTATGCCCCTAGTTAACGTTCTTTCGGAAAAGTATGTTTTTACTAAAAAGTAGTAAGGTGTACTTGTATTTAATGATCCTGGTTGTACTTGTACTTAGATTGTAAATTATATCAGTGTACTTGGTGCTAGAAAATAATGAATTTCAGTAGTGCCAATAGTAGTGTTTATACTGTAGTAGTGTCTGTAGTATCTATAGTGTCTGTAATAGTGTCTGGAATCCACCAGATGTAGTGTAAAGTATTGTACTGTAGTGTCTGTAATAGTGACTGGAATCCACCAGAAGTAGTGTAAAATAGTGTACTGTAGTGTCTGCAATAATGCCTGGAATTCACCAGAAGTAGTGTAAAATAGTGTATTGTAGTGTCTGTAATAGTGCCTGGAATCCACCAGAAGTAGTGTAAAATAGTGTACTGTAGTGTCTGTAATAGTGCCTGGAATTCACTAGAAGTAGTGTAAAATAGTGTACTATAGTGTCTGTAATAGTGCCTGGAATCCACCAGAAGTAGTGTAAAATAGTGTATTGTAGTGTTTGTAATAGTGCCTGGAATCCACCAGAAATAGTGTAAAATAGTGTACTGTAGTTTGATTAATTATCAAAACATTTGTATGAATGATTTCCCAAAATGCAAGTGTATTGTACTAGGAAAGTAATGTAGAGAAGATCTAATATTAAAATAAAAACTTTGCAGTAGTGTTAATCCCGTAAACCTTGTTTATACTATTGTGAGTTTCATATAACCATGCTAATATGACCTAGTGGCCTCTATGACGTTCTTCAGGCGTCGGTATTTTACGACATTTGTCACCCCCAGGCATGCATGCCTAACTGTAGCTAGCAGTTTGGGTGTGGGATTGTTAGTCCCGTATAGATCTATACACAAACCTCACGCTCTCCATCCGGGAGACTCTGGTTATAATTTATAGGACTTGAACCTGTACCCTGGTGGGTACTCGAAGTAGTGCCTCACAACCCTGTATTAACTAGTTTACGTGTAGTGTTATAGTGTTCTCTTGTAATTGAAACTGTATGTATTACTTTGTAATGCAAAATAATTATACTTAAATGATTATTTTAGTAGTGTATCCTTGTAGTAGTGAAATAGAGTAGTGTTCCATAAAATATACCTATTATAGCTTAAATGTATGTCCGGTATGCAATGAAAGTCTTAGTAATTTAACAGTTTGAATAACACGATAACACGATGAGATAGGTACCCTTTTGCTCGACATGTTACAAAAGGGTTAAAACTTTATTTAGATAAGATTATATGCATATATGAAAAAGGCATATATATAAAGATGTACTTTAGGAAATAAAAGTATAAAAATTTGCGGTAGTTTGAAGTACAATTTAAAATAGTTTGAATCAGTTGAAACGTCTTGATATGCTTTAAAACAGTTTGAAATCTTTTGAAAGTTAACCCAAAATTATTTTCTGTTTTACTTGTATTCCCCCCCCCCTAAACACATTGGAAAAATAGTGAAAACGTAGGGGTATGAATTCACCTAAAACGTGCGTTAACTTGAATTAGCAAGTGGTAGAGACGATCCCCGGGTAAGCATACGTGCGAATAACGTTCTCCTAAAATAATTATATTCGACGTCGTATTTAAATTAATTATAAATTAATTTAAATAATTTGTTAAATAATAATTTAATTATAAGAATAACTTACAATTAAATTGGAATTATTTGGAAATGAGGAAATAGAGTTTTGAGATGGCAAAAATGGGTTTACGGTTGGAGGTAAGTGAGTTCACAATTGGATCTTGAGAGTTATGAAGATTTGAAGATTTGTTTGAAGATATGAATGTGGATATGAATGTTCTTGATGGGGAAATATGAAGATATGAAGGAACTGGGCGTAAACTCTTGAAGATTTAGAGGAAATGGGACTGTTCACAGATGAAGATTGAGAGGATTTTGGGAGTGTTTACGGATGAAAAGTGTGTGAAATGAAAGTGTTTTCGCCATAATACATATATATAGGGGTGGTTTACGGCCCAGGGCTTCTACAAGGGGGTGTTTACGGTCTTGAATCAAAAGAATAAGGGGTTTACGGATTTGCCAAACCGTAAACCTTTGTGAAATTAAAACCTTCAACCGTGAACACCATTTTGAGTAACTTTTTGGCCGTGAACTCCTAATTGGAATTAATTCTAGGCGTGAACTCCTTTAATGCATTGATTTCTTGGTGAAAACACAATTAATGAGGGTTATTTATGTCTTAAACACTTAGTCTTTCAACCTATTTTCATTTATAACACCCGAATTTAGCTTAAGTTTTCAATTCATACCTCTTTGTTAACTTTTTAAACAAGCCCTAAGGCTATAGATTATAAATTGCAACAATGATTGCGCTGCGGTTTCGCTTGTACTAGGTTAGGGTTTTGACCATGCTAGGTTTAAAATTTTGAGTTGTGACACAATAACAAAAGGAAGGCTTATCCCGAGACAAATTTTGATAGGCTATTTGTTCCCAAAAATAAGAAAATGACTAATCACTACAAGAAAAAGACCCTTTTACGACGCGCAAAACACAACGCTCATTGATTAATGTTACGCAAAAGAGAGTGACATTAAAAAACGTCATCTCTTCAAAAATTTTAAGGATTTAGGGCGCGCATTATTGGGTGCCCTTAAATTAGTGTCTAATGTGAAAAACTTAAAAACACGGAGGGTACTTTATGTAAAATGAGCGTCATCACAATAAATGTCGCCTTATAATTTTAATGAAAGGCGCGCGTCTCTTGTTACAATAATCGAGGTTACTACTAAAATATCCTAACACTCGTGTTCATCAGTCACTTCACTCTCTACAATCGATCGACTCTGAGACCTTGACTCGCCTCCCCTTGCAGACAACGTCTCCTCCGACGACGTTAGGTTACTTCTCCTCCGGCTGATTTCGCCTCGCCGACGACCTTGGGCTCAACTGATATCATTGGAGACTGCTCAAATTTATGTGCCCTAGGTCCGATTAAGGTGTTCCTGTTGAAACGATTTAGGAAAAGTAAACTTCCCGGTTGGCCAGAGAACCAAGTAACAGAAGAGAAAGAGCAGAAGAAAGTCGAAACAAGGGGAAGAAGCACCTGGTAGCCATGAATCTGATGCTAAATTGAACACATTCAAGGGTTTCTCACCTACTGAAGCTTCTCAAGTTGAACACAAGGTAAATCTCAAGCTTCTCAAGTTGTATGTAATGTTTTTATCCCCTTCTTTCATCTTCGAACATTTGGTGTGCTTTTTAACCCAAAGTTTCACCTTGTCCTCAAGGTGAAGAAAGGATTGGCTAACCGTGTAATTATAATGTCAGTGGCCCGAGAAAAGAGACGAAAAATCCCTCAAAATTCTCCTTATCAAACTCCCCTGTGAGATGTTTCTCTTCAGGTTCTTCAAACTTTGGCTCTTCTTTGCTGCTTAAAACAAGAGTCTTCCCCTCAAGTTCTTTCAACTGTCCAACATCATCTCTAAGCAATCCAACGAGGTTAGTCTTGTTTACTTTGCCAGATTTATCCGTTTCCTTCATGTCAAGCTCTACATCCATAGCCTCAAGTTGCTCATTTCTTTCAACTGATTTCACCTTCCGTTTGTTGACCTTCTTTTCTCTACTTCCAGTTTCATCAACAACCTTCTCAATCCTTAAGGCTCCATCCCAAGTAATAACATAGGGTTTCTCTTCTATGGTGTCACCCAAATCCTTCACTTCATCCATCAACAAAATATCTTTGCTATCACATGCTTTTATTGTCAATAATTGTATATAACTCTAGTAAGCTGATTTATTGGCTAGAAATCTGTAACTTAGGCTGATAATTAGCTTGTGTATTGAGTATATAACTCTGTTGGATTTTCTTGAAATACCATTTTTAGTAATCTCTTCGCAGCCAAGAATTGGAATTGTGGATTCCAAGGAAATTGGAATTCAAGATTTCATTCAATGGTGCATTTGGTTGAAAATTCAGACATAATTCAACTCTGTCAAATTCCTTCAAATTTGAATTTTGATGGACTTCAACCATTCATGAGGGCAAGTGGTTTCAATTTCATTACTCTTTTTTTATTAAATGACCAAAATACCCTCAATCACGGTTGAAATATGGACATAATCTTTCCATAAAAAAAACACCAGAAAGTTTGTGATTTATCTTTCATGATGAATTACAAATATTAGTAAAATATTGGAGAGAGATCACTCAAACCCTGTGAGAAAGAAAAAAACTTATTTTTTACAAACATTAGCAAAATATTGTGTATAATAAAAAAAAACCACAAATTATAAGGTCTTTTTTTAGATTAACCTTCACAAAATGATGATGTCATATTTTGCAGCCTTTTGTAACTAAAAGTAATTTTTGCAAATTACTGGAATTTTATAATTGGGCCATTGTGAAAGAGGAATCCATTTTGTTAAAAAGTCAAAAAGGATGTCAAATTTGTCAAATAAGACCCGACCAATTTTGGTAATTTTCATGATTATCCAAAAAATAATGACATTTTAAGTTTTTAAGTTTTTAAGCTTTTACCCCCTTTTGAAGTTTATCTTCAACAGCTGTAGCACCAAGTAAAATCAAGCTTCTTTCAATCTTTTCAGCAGCAACGTCTATCAAATCATCACGTTCAATAGACACTAAAGTTTTAGCTTTTATAAATTCTTCTTCCCATTTTTTATATTCTTCTTCTTCAACAACACGATATGCAATCACCAAAGTCCTTAAACATGCCTCTGCGTATTTGTTGATATGATTCTTTGTTTCCTCTTCAAAGGGCTGACTTTCTTTACAAAGTCTTTCAAACATGAAACTGAATTTATGAAAAAAGAATATATAATGTGAGTGGAAACTGGAAAGATTTTACATTTAAATTTGAATGTTTATAGTTTATGTGTTAAAAGAGTAAGTAAGCCACCTGTCAGCACCCTTTGCAGAGTAATAAGAGTTGATTTTCAGTGTTTCTTATGATTACTGACATTCTCTTTCGAGAACTGTTGAATTCTATCATGTTTAAGAGCTCATATGATCTGTGAAAATTGTATTAATTTTGTTCTATCTATTGAATTTATGAAAAAAGAATATATTAATTTTGTTTTAATTTTGTTCTTCACCAGTAATTGTCCACTCTCACCTGTTTTGGCATCTCGAGTCTTTTTAACTTTAATCTGATCAGCGCTCCATGATTTTTTACAACTTCTTTCCTGAACATACCCCTCTACATGTCTAGTAACATCAATGTATGCATAAGTTATCATAGTACCATGATTTTTTAATCTTATATTAGACTGAATACGATTCCATTTGGCTGTTTCTCTTGAATATATATGCATCAGTTATCACAGTACCATGCTTCAAATCGTTCACACCAATGTTCTTCACATTGAACCCAACATTGTATTTAGATAAAACTTCGGTGACAGGTTCATGGTACGCAAGCAAACATGTACTCCCCACTAACACCTCATGTAGTTATTATATTCTGTGCTTAGATGTGTTATTGATCATTCAATAAGCCGCATATTCAAGTATCATTCTCTTAAATGTGTTAGTACCTTATGTGGTAAAGTGATGATAGCATGTTTGAATTAGTTTAAAGTATAATATACAAGCTTGCATTATGTGAACCTTCCTTCACACATAACTTGCTAAATGCTAATATTTGTTAATTTTTTTCATAATTGTGCATTGCAATATGCATATAGTTACAATGAGTTACAATTGTTATGTTACTTGTTGCAGCCTCAAAGGGTGATAAAGCAACAATTGTTCTGTTACTTGCTGCAGCCTCAAAGGATGATGCTATAAGAAATCTATTCAAGGCGAAAACCATTCATGAGTACAGCACCCAGAGCCCGTTGACTTTCCTGGTATCCCTCACCTCCACTTTTACTTAACATCTATTTCGTGAATACAAAATATTATTTAATAAATAGCAATTAGGAATAGGATATAGATTGCTATAAAGAAGCCTTCTAAAATGAAACTTGATGCTTGGAAATTTGACATATTGTAGGTAATTTTGTGCACATTGAAATAAGAATTGATTAATTATTGCAGTTATAGTTTTTTGTATTGTGAAAGACAGTTTCTATTTTTTTTGTAGTAGTAACATTTAAAAAAGAAGTTTGAATGAAAAGTAGGAAATTTTAAGTAGAAGAAAAAAAGTAAGCAAACAACCAAATTACAATTGTAAGATTGATGATATACAAACAAATACAATGGTGATATTCTTAGACTCACACCACCTTCACGCTCCATGTGTGCTATAGTGTATGCAATTCTCAACTCTCTACATTAAAAAAGAACTCATCACAAGCATAAGAAAACTATCATTTTGCAAGAAAAATAAAAAAATAACACTACCCTCTTATACTATGTGACATAACAAACTAATAATATGAAATGCCCAAAATACCCCTAATTCTCCTTGCATTAGTAAGATGATCTTTATTTGTCAAGCAAGGCCTGTGGGCAGTTTGAACATATGGAGACTTTCTTGAAAGAGCAACCTGTCCCATAAGGCAAAAAAAAATCAACATCAGAATTTTTATAACCAACTGCTGCACTCCAGAGCTTTCAGCTCCACCTCCCCTCATTAAATTTTTCTGTGTATTGACCATGTTAGCCTGGCATAATTCAACTAGTTCTGAGAGAACTTTCTGATGAGATTCTTTAAGTTTTTTTTCATGTGCTATGGTTGAAAGCTTCTGTTAATGAAAATCTCAAAATCCTACCTGAGAAAGAATATCAAGATCAATAACTTCATGAATCTCTTGTTTTTGGCTTTGAGGTGACATCTCACAAAGCTCATCTCTCACTTCCTTCATTTAACTCCATATATAATAATGGAAACATAAATCTACACATTGAGATTGGGTTTTCACTTTTAAGTCCATTTCCATAAAAGCAATATTTTTGTCAAGATTGCCCCTGTCCAGAAATCTACACATTGAGATTAGGTTTTCACTTTTCACTTTAAAAAATAATGCACCTCCCCTCATCAGAATGTTATATTTCTGTGTATTGGCCATCTGTATTTGACATCTGATTGGCCTCTGAACAGTATTTTTGTCAATATCGCCCCTGTACAATTTTTTTTGTCACTGTACAGTTTTGCCCCTGTACAATTTTTTTTGTCCCTGAACAGTATTTTTGTCAAGATTGCCCCAGTATAATTATGTAGGTTGGAAACAAATGTTTAATGTATAAATTATGGATGTCCCCTAGTAGATTATCAACTGCATATGATGAAGGCGTGAATCCTCAATCATACATATATGTTCTTGAAAGATGACAAACAAGTAGCATAATTATGTTCTTGAAACATTTATAGTACTTATACAGCAAGAGCAGATAGTACAAAGATATTCAAACAAGCTCATATTCAAAATTTCTAACTTTTAGATTTCTGTAAAAGTTCATATTCAAAATTTTAACAGTATTTCTAACTTTCAAATTTCTGTAAAAGCTCATAAAATTTTATAACAAAGATATAAAAATATTCAAACAAGCTCATATTCAAAATTTTAATAGTATAAAGAAACAGATACACATAATAACATGCTGAAAAAAGACTAAACTACCCCTAATAACATGCTGAAAAAGTAATATGAATAACATGCAATCCTGAACTAAACAAAAGACTAAACTACCCCTAATAACATGCTGAAAAAGTAATATGAACAACATGCAATCCTGAACTAAACAAAAGACTAAACTACCCCTAATAACATGCTGAAAAAGTAATATGAACAACATGCAATCCTGAACTAAACAAAAGACTAAACTACCCCTAATAACATGCTGAAAAAGTAATATGAACAACATGCAATCCTGAACTAAACAAAAGACTAAACTACCCCTAATATGTAACGCCCGCAAATCCGGGCTAGTCAATTTAGAGACGACGAGCATCAAAAATGAGTTTTTGATGGAAGATTATTTATAAGGATTAATATTAACCAAGGTGTAGTATATGTTACAAGGGTTCCGTACATATAAAGAACACCGAAATCCGAGTTATAACGAAAAAGTTATGGTCCGTCGAAGTTTTACGGCAAAACCAGCACGACACCGGGAGACGTAAATAGTGAATTTATGGTAGAAGACTTTTTAGCCTTAGTGATCTAAACATAATTTGTAGTATACGTTAAACCGAGAATATACAAAAAAAGAACGCCCAAATCTGACTTCGTATGAGGAAGATATGAATTTTCTAAGATTTGGCATAGCAGTGCACGACCAGAAACTCGAATTTTAGTTCGAGCGGTTTTTGGCCTACGCGACCTAAATGAGAGTTTAAGATCTCATTAATAGGAACTCAACAGTAAAAAGACAGACAAAAATGGAGTCCGTATGTAGAAGTTATGAATTTTACGCGGATATTTAACAATATAATCTCCTCCTACTGTTAAATTTAAGATCGGTCGAGAATTAGCCGACGGAGTCTAAATGAAAGTTGTAGATCTTGTTTTTACCTACGGGGGGATATAAATAATGTTGATAGTAGAGCTTGTATGTTAAAGATATGGATGAAACTTGGTCCCCACTCTTCGAGCGCGATAAATTCGATACAGTTTTGTAAATCTGAGATAGAATGAGAATTAGCTGACGGCATCTAAATGAAAGTTGTAGTACTTGTAAATACCAATGCTTGGATATAAAGAACGTCAAAAATGGAGTTCGTATGAACGAGTTACAAATTATAATAGCATATTTACGT